AGGAATGTGGCTCAGTTTGAGACCATAGCTCAGATGTTTTTTCCCTCATTAGAAATGTTCCTGTGTCATTGCACAAGAATTACTACTTTGTGCCTCAGTCCTGTATTTGTTTTGGCACACACCTCGTTTTGACCTTGTTTGAAGGCTCAGTAAAACTCCCCTGATTTGTGGGTTGTTCTGTGCTATCAGCTGTTTGTATCAGCAGTTCATCTCTGCTATTAGCTGCTTAAAAATCTGCTTTATTCCCAGTTTGAGCAGTTAACAAATGGAGTGGTGTATTGCTCCAAGGTGTAAATGAATAGTCATTGCCTGTAATACAAGTACACACTCAGTGTGTCCTACTGCTTTTAGAGGTGATGTATTTGGCACTGTAAAGGTAATGATCCTCAACCACAGCAATATTCTGTAACAGGAGTATCTGTCACACTCCTCGGGATTACCATGTTCATTGATTTGTGTCTGTAAATCTGCTGTTTCAACCCTTTAAATTTGATCTATAATTGGACCTCCTTAAATGGTTCAGCTAAGGTAGTCTGTATTTTCTCAACAGTGTCACTGTCAGCTTCTCCTTTTTCATTATACATTCAGCAGACTTGATAAAATCAGCAGGACACCTCATTTGAAACTGTTTAATCGCTGCCTTTTGCTTTCACTAAACCATCGGGGTGGTCAAGCGATATACACAAATCATTTTAAGTAGGAAATCTGGCTTTCCCTGTGACCCAGCTAAACAGATAGCAGTATGCAAAACAAGTTAAAAAGTAATAAATGCCAAAAAATCTGCTAATTGGAGTGAAAAATGGCAGGTAACTTTATTCACTCCCCAAAAGTAGCGCGCTCTGAAATATGGGCAGGGTGATCTTCCTGAAGGCTCACTCCTCTGAACAGGGCAACTCTGCAGCTTCAAATGCACCATCCTGCTTTTCTGTCAGTGCCTGGAAAGCACATCTGTGGCCCTGCAGCCCCAGGGCTCCTGCTCCATCACTGCTCCTGCACCTCATCCCTGCTGGAGGAGGAATGTTGGACTTGTGGTTTCGTCCCTGTGCCTGCTCAGTGTGAAACACTGGCACAGAGTGAGTGCCTGGTGAGGGTTTACAGGCAGACACAGAGCTGGTGGCTTAGCCCCTGTGTGAAGGTGGTGGTGCCTGGGCAGCTCCTTAGTCTCTTCATTCCCCGTGCCCTGCACTAAGTGACCTCCCTCTGGCGTGGGCAGGTGCCAAGGTGGGGCAGGGAGCTGTGCCATTCCATTAACTCTTTTTCTAGCCTCATTTTCCATCTTGCATTCAAACAGTAAGGGGAGAGGCTGTGAGGGCAGTGACAGGTCTGTGTGCCCCACTGTGCAGCTGGGCTGGGAGCAGCCTGGGCTTGCACTGAGTGCTCAATGAGCTCAGCTGGGCTGCAGTCTGGTTTGTGCTGCTGCTGTTTGTTACCTGTTCCTGTAACCCATCCCTGGCTCACAGTGTCCCCATGCTGTCCCCACAGGTTCTGGGTCCCTGGCAGCCATGGCCGTGTTTGAAGACAAGTACAAACCCAACATGGAGGTAAGAACTTCGGCTTTTCTCAGCATCACTGTCTCTCCCCTCAACAGTCCTCACCGTCACAAGAACTTAAGAGGTTTGAAGCTTTGGAAAAGGTAAATCTGCTCTAGTTGTGCTGCACTTAAGAAGGTCAGTTTAGTGCAAAGCTGTAAAAATGGATAAATTTGCAAGGAACTTTATTTCTGTATGGAAAAACATGTGTTCTGTGCACACACAACAAACAGGTTCCTCAGTTCTGTAATGCAGCTGCTGTGGATCAGTTCCTCCCCCAGCTGTGCTGTGTTTCCAGGCCATGGTCTCGTGAGTCCCTGGAGGTCTCTCTCTAAAGGGGACACATGCAGTTTGCAAAGTGACCTGTGATCCTCTGTTACATCTCCTGAGGAAGTGCGGTGTGTAAAACCAGTTGATGTCAAACAAAACCAAAGCCAATGCACCTTGTCTTGAGAAGTTTGCCATGAGTGAGTTGTCTCAGTGTTAGCAGTGAGCAGTTCTGCAGTAATCCCTGGCTCCCTCCCGGCAGTGTGTGTGCCAAGCTGGGGACGTGGGGCAGGGTCAGGATTCCTGTGCTGCTGCAGTGTCCTGGGCAGTGTGTGGACACTGGCCCTGTGGCCTCTGGGGGGTTGGTCAGTGCTCTCAGAACTGTGGAATACCTCAGGGGGCACTCGGGTGTCTTGGGGAGGAGCACTGCAGCAGGAGTCTGACAGAGCCATAGAGACAAAGCCTCTGTTCCTCCCCTTGTGCTGCTGTAGGGATGGCAGAGTCTCCTTCTCCAGCCTCCTGTGACTCTGTGCTTGCCATGAGTGCTATTCCCACTGCAAATCCCTGGAATCACCAGCCACAGCACAATGGTTCTCTTTCAAAGAGACAAATGTCACAGAGCTGTGCTAGGAAACTGAAATTCTCGTCTTGTTCTCAGTCAGTTTTCAAGTTTGTATTTTAAGTAATATTTTTGTGTGTAAGAGCAACCAAAAAAGGCACCAAAACCTGGTAAATCTCCACATTTTCTTATTTAGAAAGGTCATCCTCATTAAGCTGTCTTCACACACCACCATAAATGGCAGCAGAGTCACTGTTCTAACAAGCAGTAGAAATGCAGCCTGGCAGTTGGGGGAGAATGGATATTTAGAGATTGGAGACTTGGGTGCACCTTAACCTGCCTTTGGTTTTCCTGGGTAATCTGTTACACTTCAGGAGTTGTATCAGTGAAACCGGCAAAGTTTCAGGTGATAAAGCTCAACTGGACTTAACACTTGCTCTCCTCTGTTGTGGCTGCCGGCGTGAAATAGTTGCCTGTCAGTCAGATGTGTTTTTTTGTCAGTACATTGCCAAAATAACAGATATTTCTATTGAAATGAACCCGAATGAAATCCGAAGTGCACTGTGGATATTTTACCCACAACGTGCTATGGAATGGCAGTGAGATAAACTTAAATTCTTGGAGATGAATGTAATAATGGGGTAGAGGATGATTGTGTTTGTGTCGAGATCAGTGCTCCTTTCTCTGGCACTAATTGTCGAGTGTCTCGCTGCGGCTACTGGGGGAGTCGTGTGCTTGGAGACCAGCACATCACAGGGAAGCCACTCAAAGGCAAACTGTCCTGCACCCTCTGGTATCAACTTGCAAATTAGCATCTGGAATGTAATTAAACAAGCCTAATGAAAGTAGCAGCTGAATACTACTGGAAAAGACAATCAGCTTTTTTGCCTCTGATACATATTCTGTGCCATTGAAGCTGATCACCAAACGCATCGTGTGAGCACAGTTAAAAAAATTAGCATTTATTTGAAGAATAGGAGCTGTTTTTCATTCTGTGATGCTTTTGGCATGCACTGGTGTCCCAGGAGAGCCATGCCACAGCAGATAGTGCACAATATTTATAAATCCGTGACAGGCAATAATAGCAACTTGAAAAATTCTTTTGCTAGAATTTCAAGTTGAGAGCTGCCAAAAGCTGAGAGGATCAAATCTGCAGTGGCAGCTGCTGTGCCCTACAGTTAGAATCGTAGACTTTGAAGATGCTCAACTGAAAAAAAAACATAAAAAAAATAATAAAATAAAAAAAAGACTGCAGGCTTAGCCAATTTTTGCAGGTTTCTGGAGCCCTGGCTCTCTGCCTTTTGAAGATGAGTTGCTGAAGCTTCTCCCACTGCCTGAGGCATGCTAACACCAGCAGGATGTGTTTTTTCCATAGGCTTAGCGTGTCTTCAGATTTAAGTAGCACATGCTTTATCACTGCCAACTGTGATGGTCCTTTCCCTGGCTGCAGTGCCAGGAGGTGCTCTCCACCCTCCACCCCTGGGCACTGCCATGCCCCAGTGCCACTTGTGCCACCTGATTTATGGAGGCAGAGCACTGGGCTTCAGGGGAGCCCTTGGGGACTGCAGGGGATGGGAACACTCTCAGCCCCGCAGGGCTGAGGTGCTTCAGAAATGCAGTGCCAAGCGCCTCAGTACTGGGGAGCAATATTAATCTGCCAGGTGGGCAGCTACAGCTCCACTGTGGAAATCATAAGTGGAGTGTTTGGAGCTCAGGTCTCTCCTTGCAGACAATTTTTCTTTGTTGTAGAGTAGCCACATGGGTTTTTTTAAACCTTACAGTCATTTTTGCAAATGCATTCATGCCTTCTGGTGTGAAACAATAGGAGAGAAATGCTCCG